CTGTGCCTACTTCACAAGGTAGCAATGCAGATTAAGTGTGCAACTGATAAAGCTAATTAAAATTCAATGTTATTACTAATCCCACAGTCGCTACCTCCATACTCCCATGGTGTTAATTTTGGCAGCCCTATCCTGTTGGATCACAAACATTGCTGTTATAATTAAAGGAAAGAGCGATATAGATCTTGTCCATATCCGGCAGCCACATATACAAGACCAACTTGTTAACCTGCAATCCCTATTACTGGCAAGACTGGGCAGGTATTTCCAGGCAGGTATTTAAATGTGAAATAGCCAAAAATAATGATAGCCTACAAATAAGATGCCTGTTTACCAAATGACCATATTTCAAGTGCAATATCCCTTCGTTCCAAACACAATATTCAGTTTCTGAATATTCAACCGCACAAGAAATGTATATTAATGAAAAAAGCTCTGTAGCTCTAGTACCTCTGTATACCTAGCACCTCAATCATATAATACATTTAAACTGAGGGCTTAAACTAAGATTCCAGACTACACAAAAGAAATGGCTAGGTGAGGTAGCTCACGCCTTTAATCCCTGCACATTGGGAGACTGAGGCAGGCAAATCTCTGGAGCCCAAGAGTTCAAGACCAGCCTGGGAACATGACAAAACCCCATCTCTACAAAAAAAATTAGCCAGGTGAGGTGGCACATTCCTATAGTGTCCCAGATACCCAGGAGGCTAAGTTGGGAGGATTACCTGAGCCCAGGAGTTTAAGGTTGCAGTGAGCCATGATTTGAACCACTGCACTCCAGCCTGGGTGACAGAGTAAGACCTTGCCTCAAAAAAAAAAAAAAAAACCTAACAAAAAAGAAAAAGAAAAAAAGAATAAAAAGCACTACCATTCTCTGAAAAGTTAAACCACCTATGGCCTCTGTAGTCCTCAGGGTTAGAATTGGAACCCCAAAAAATTAACTTGCAAAAATTGTCTGCAATCTCTTTCTTTTCTTTTGAGATGAAGTCTCACTCTGTCACCCAGGCTGGAGTGCACTGGCACAATCTCAGCTCACTACACCCTCCGCCTACTGAGTTCAAGTAATTCTCATGCCTCAGCTTCCAAGTAGCTAGGATTACAAGCACATGACATCACACCCAGATAATAGGTTTTCACCACGTTGCCCAGGCTGGCCTCGAACTCCTGACCTCAAGTGATCTGTCCTCCTCGGTGTCCCCAAAGTGCTGGGATTACAGGCATGAGCCACCTCATCCAGCCTGCAATCTCTTTTCTAAGGCAAAAAAGTCTCATCTATTTCTCTTGGCCTCATATTGCTGCAAAAAGAAAACTCACTACCACAACAAAGAAGACAATTTATTCAAGTAGCCAATCAACCTAAGTTTTATGTCTTGTTCACATGAAACTCTGGTTATCAATATTAATACCTCCAGCCATCTTGGGGGAGGAGAGAGAAGAAAAAAAAGGAACTCTGTAATGCTAAAATTCTTTCCTAATATATTTTACTTATGAAATTTCATAACCAATTATATAACCATTCTATTACTTGGAGGAATAAAAAGTCAATGATTGTCAATTTAAAAGCTACTAAAAACATAACATATAAAATTATACACTAAGGAGTTTTATATAAATTTGCCCATTAAATAAGTATGTGTGCATACTTCTTTAATTTAAGAAAATTCTAATGACTTATAGTTTATACTACAAGATTATTTATGCAAACAGATTGGTCTCATTCCAGAGTAGGCTTTTCTGGGGATGAAGTTTACTAAGCAATTTACAACGTTCTGTGAAAATCATCAGCTTTTTCAGGTTCTGTAGTAAAGTTATAAAACTTCTAGGCACCGGCCAGGTGTGGTGGCTCACGCCTGTGATCCAAACACTTTAGAGGTTGGGAGTTCAAGACCAGCTTGACCAACATGGTGAAACCCCATCTTTAAAAAATAAATAAATAGGGGAGCCACGGTGGCTCCAGCCAGTTGTCCTGGTGCTTGAGGAGGCAAGGCTATGAGTTCAAGGCCAACCTGAGCAACATAAGAAGCTCTCATTCATTAACAAATAAATAAATAAATAAATAAATAAAAATTTAAAAATTTTAAAAAACTTCTAGGCACCATATTTTTGGCACGTGTGTACGTATGTACATATGAATGCTTTTATGGCAGTCTTATTTATAGTTACCAAAAATGGGAAACAACCAAATGAACTGGGGAATGAATACAGCAACTATTGTATATCTATACACTGGAATACCACCAAGCAACAAAAAGTAATTACTGATACATAAAAACATGGATGAATCTCAAAATACATTAGGTTAAATAACAGATGTCAGTCTCAGTAGGCCACATACTGAGCCAGGCAGGAGGATTCCTTGAGATAAGGAGCTTCAGGCAAGCACACGCAATAAAACAAGACCTCCCATTTCTATTCAACCAATAAAAATTAAAACAAAAAGGTTAAACACTGCATGATTTCGTTTACATGGAATTTTGAAAAAAAAAAAAAAAAAAAAAAACAGAGAAAATACAGATCAGTGGTTGCCAGAGAGTAAAGGTGAAGAAATGGGCTGACTATAGAAAGGGTCATGAGGGGCCGGGCACGGTGGGTAATCCCAGCACTTTGGGAGGCCGAGGCAGGTGGATCATGAGGTCAAGAGATCGAGACCATCCTGGTCAACAAGGTGAAACCCCATCTCTACTAAAATACAAAAAATTAGCTGGGCATGGTGGCGCGTGCCTGTAGTCCCAGCTACTCAGGAGGCTGAGGCAGGAGAATTGCCTGAACCCAGGAGGCGGAGGTTGGGGTGAGCCGAGATTGCGCCATTGCACTCCAGCCTGGGTAACAAGAGCGAAACTCAGTCTCAAAAAAAAAGAAAGGGTCATGAGGAAACTTTTTTGAGGAACTACTCTATATCTTGATCCTCATGGTGGTTGCACAACTAGAAGTGTTTCCCAACCTCACAGAACCATATTCAATATACCTTAACGAAAATAATTTTCAACCATACATGATAGAACCTTTATTGCTCTAATAGCAAGACCAAAGAGATGTTGCTTAAACCACTGATGCCTTGGTCCGATCTGCCTCCAACTTTGAAAACATTTTGCCTAAAAATTAAACAGCATTTGTAAGTTAGTCACAAATCCTTTGAGATCAAAATACACACATATTTTAAAGAAAACTACCTAGTGCTTGCATCCATGTCATTTTTGGAGAAAATAACCTTTGTTAAGAAGGGAATAAAATCCAAGTAATAAATACTGACATCAGTCTTTTCCAGAATCATGATGGTCAAAACAATGAGACTCTTCTCCTAATTTTGGTCCAAATACCAAAATTTTTACTGCAAAAACTCTCTAACAGATTATTATAAAATCTTAACATTTGCCTAAAAGTCTTTAAGTGCTTTCACTTAACTAGGCAGTATAAACAAAAAAGAGCACAAGCTTAGGCAGAACACAATGGCTCACACTTGTAATCCCAGCATTTCTGGAGGCCAAGGCGGGGAAATCACTTGAGTCCAGCAGTTTGAGACCAGTCTGGGCAATGCAGCAAAACTCCATCTCTTCAAAATACACAAAAAAGGCCCTGTAATCCCAGCACTTTGGGAGGCCGAGGCGGGTGGATCACAAGGTCAAGAGATCAAGACCATCCTGGCAAACATGGTGAAACTCCGTCTCTACTAAAAATACCAAAATTAGCTGGTGGTGGCATGCACCTGTAGTCCCAGCTACTCGGGGGGCTGAGGCAGGAGAATTGCTTGAACCTGGGAGGTAGAGGTTGCAATGAGCCGAGATTGTGCCACTGCACTCCAGCTTGGCGCCTGGCTACAGAGTGAGACTCTGTCTCAAAAAAAATACACAACAAAAATTAGTAGGGTGTGGTGGCACACACCTGCAGTTCCAGCTACTTGGGGGAATGAAGCAGGAGGATGATTTGAGCCTTGGAAGCAGAGGCTGCAATGTGCCAAGATCACGCCACTCACTCCAGCTTGGGTGAGATCAGAGTGAGACCCTTTCTCAAAAAAAATTTTTTTTAAAGCACAGGCTCAAGATCTCAACTCACCTAGGCTATTTAACCTAATTTTGCCTCAATTGTCTCATCAGTAAAATTGGAATAATTTCACCACCCTCTGTGAATAGTCCTAGACTATCAAATGAGTTAATATATGTATTATAATAAATCACAGGGTGATAACTGGCATAGTTAATTAAGCCTCAGTATTAACCTAATATAAATAAATGATATCAATAATCACCAGCTATGTAGTCTTTGTATACCACAATTCTGCTCTGTAAGGTAAATGGCCTAAATTCAATGGTCTAAATAAAGAGCTATCTAGTAATACTATTCTATATTCCTATTATTTTACCTGAATTGCACCTACCTAGTTCAGTTTTCAAAAGAAAAATTAAGTATTATACTTCTTATATAAAAAAATGTGAGGTCTAAATAAGTTAAATGACTTATTCAAAGAAACAGTAATGTGAAGGCAGAGCCAAGATGAGGATTCGGTATTCTGAGATTCCTTAAAACTTTGTCCTCTCCAAAACTTTTAGCCCTCCACCAAAAGACACAGGTATAATGCACCCAAAACAACTCCAATTCAATAATTTTAAAATTTCGTTAAGCTATACATTTGATTTGTGCACTATTCTGTATATTTGTTTTATATCATAATAGAAAGGCTAAATGGCTTATCATTAAGTGTATTCATATACGAAGCAAAGTAGTGGAAAAGTTACATCAAAAGCTACAAGGAGACAAACTCAGCAGATTATGTTCTCTAAACTTCTGTGAGAGGCAGAACTTTTTAACTGAGGTATAACATACATACAAAGAAGTGCACACTTCCAAAGTCTACTACTCAATGAGTCTCATAAACAGAACACAACCATAAAATCATGACCCAGATAGAGACACAGAACATTACTAGCACACCTAGAATCTCCCTTGTCCTCACCACCAAAGATAACCATTATTCTGATTTCCATTCCCATCTGTCAGTTTTGTCTGTTTTTGAAGCTTTACAGAAACAGAGTGCTCGCTTCAGCAGACACAAGAAGATTAGCATGGTCCCAGCACAAGGATGGCATGCAAATTGGTGAGGCGTCCCATCTTTTTTTATTATTACAGTAGTCTGTATTATTTAACATAAAAGAAAGATCAATATGAAAAATGGGATGAACTAATCAACAATGTAATTAAAGACAACAGCATTATTTGCCTGGGAAACTAAAGACAAAACAACTGAAAAATTATTAAAACTGTGGAAGGAGTCAATTTGCTGCTTATGGAATAAACATATACTGTAATCACAATGACATATACTATATACTATAGAATTAAAATAACATTTCTGGCTGGGCACAGTGGCTCACGCCTGTAATCCCAGCACTCTGGGAGGCCAAAGTGGGAGGATCACTTGAGCTCAGGAGTTCAAGAGCAGCGAGGGCAACATGGTGAAATTTCCAAAGAATAGGACTAACTCCACATGTAGCAGCTACATGTGGACAAGTATGAGTGTTTCCTGATTAAGTGTCATCCCCATGAATGTATGTATACAAGTTTGTTGAATTGAAGGCTCCTCCAACTCCACTGGAGATAAATGCTATAAATGTAAGTAATACAAGAAACTCTCATCCAAATTAACTCACGTAAAACAAAAACAAAACAAGAAAAATTTGCCACATCAAGGAAATGTATAAAGTGTGTTAACTATTGTCTTTACCAGTGACGCATTTATAAAGTGGATCTGAACTATAAATTACTACTACTTACTTGCATTTAAAAAAAAGGATGTGAAATATTTTTGTAAATTTTCTTTCATTTTTTTTAAGATGGAGTTTCACTCTTGTTACCCAGGCTGGAGTGCAATGGCGCGATCTCAGCTCACGGCAACCTCCGCCTCCTGGGTTCAGGCAATTCTCCTGCCTTAGCCTTCTGATTAGCTGGGACTACAGGCACGCGTCACCATGCCCAGTTAATTTTGGTATTTTTAGTAGAGACGGGGTTTCACCTTGTTGACGTCTCGATCTCTTGGCCTCCCGAAGTGCTGGGAGTACAGGCATGAGCCACCAAGCCTGACCCTGTAAATTTTCTTTACCCAAAGGTTCACTGCAGCCACAACAAAATCATGTCCTTTGTAGCAACATGCATGCAGCTGGAGATCAGCATCCTAAGCTAATCACTGGGTAAACATGGGAACAATACATACAGGAAACCACAGAGAGGAAAGGATGGGAAGAAGTGAGGGTTCAAAACTACCTACTGGGTGCTGGATACAGTGGCTCACGCCTATAATCCCAGCACTGTGCGAGGCCGAGGTGGGCAGATTGTTTGAATCCAGGAGTTTAAGACCAGCCTGGGTAACAGGGAGAAACCCAGTCCGTACAGAAAACACAAAACAATTAGCAGGGCATGGTGGTGCATGCTTGTAGTCCCAGCTACTCAGGAGGCTGAGGCAAGAGAACTGCTTGAAACCAGAAGACGGAAGTTGCAGTTAGCTGAGATTGCACCACTGCCCTGGTGATAGAGCAAGACTCTGTCTCAAATTAAAAAAAAAATATTAGCAAGGCATGGTGGCCCACCACTATAGTCCCAGCTACCCAGGAGACTGAGCTGGGAGGATAAGCTGAGCCCAAGAGATCAAAACTACAGTGACCAGTGATCATAACACTATACTCCAGCCTGGGGGAACAGAGACATACCCTGTCTCAAAAAAATTAAACAAAACTACCTACTGGGTGCTATGCTTACTACCTGGGTGGTGGGATCAATTGTACCCTAAACCTCATGCAATATAGCCGTGTAACAAACCTGTACACTATTATCATTGGGAGAAAAAGAGAGAAAATACATGGTGCTAATTTAGAACCATACAAATAGTTTGACCCCATTTGAGGAAACATTTTGCATTTGTGTATTTGTTGAAAACAACTATCAATAAAAGACTATAATTGTGTCCTGTTCATTCATATGACTGACTACTACACAGCTATTAAAATAAATGAAGGCAGGTCATACCTGTAATCCCAGCCATTTGGGAGGCTGAGGCTTGAGAATCACTTGCACCTGGGAGGCAGAGGTTGCAGTGAGGCAAGACTGTGCCCCTGCACTTCGGCCTGGGTGACAGAACAAGACTCTGTTTCAAAAATATTGATAATAATAATACACATATATCAACATAAATAAATGTCATTTTTCAAATTATAGAATACATATCATACACATTCTAAAATATATGTATTTGAAACATAATAATACTACATGTTAAATATATAGAGATATTCGTAGGAAGAATACAAGTACATGGGCTAAAAAGATAAATAACTTCTGCATAATAGGATCTAAGAGGATGACAAAAGGGACTCCAACTGTATACGTATTTTAATTATTTTTTTTTGAGACAAAATTTCACTCTTGTTGCCCAGGCTGGAGTACAATGGCATGATTTTGGCTCACTGCAATCTCCGCCTCCTGGGTTCGAGCGATTCTGTTGCCTCAGCCTCCTGGGATCACAGGCATGCACCACCGGGCTGGGCTAATTTTGTATTTTAGTAAAGATGGAGTTTCTCCATGTTGGTCAGACTGGTCTTGAACTCCCAATCTCAGGTGATCTGCCCGCCTCGGCCTCTCGAAGTACTAGGTTTACAGGCATGAGCCGGTATGCCTGGTCGCATATTTAAATGTCTAAAAACAAATATAGGCCAGGTACAGTGGCTCACCCCTGTAATCCCAGCACTTTGTGGGGCCAAGATGGGCAGATCACTTGAGGTCAGTTCAAGACCAGCCTGGCCAACATGGTGAAACAAAGGTGAAAAAGCTTGATATGTGGGTGCCTCATGAGCTCACAGAAAATTTAAAAAGTTGTTGTTTTGAAGTGTTGTCTTCTCATTCTTTGTAATGATGACAAACCAGTTTTTGATCAGATTGTGACGTGAGACAAAAGTGGATTTTACACGAAAACAGTGAAGATCAGCTCAGTGGTTGGACCACGAAGACACAACAAAAAGAGGTCATGGTCACTGTTTGGTGGTCTGCTGCCGGTCTGATCCACTACAGCTTTCTGAATCCTGGCAAAATCAACACATCTGGGAAGGATGCTCAGCAAATCGATGAGATGCACCGAAAACTGCAACACCTGCAGCCGGCACTGGTCCACAGAAAGGGCCCAATTCTTCTCCACAACAACACCCGACCCCACATTGCACAACCAACACTTCAAAAGTTGAATGAACTGGGCTACGAAGTTTTGCCTCATCCATCATATTCAACTGATCTCTCGCCAACTGACTACCACTTTTCCAAGCATCTAGAAAAATTTTTGCAGGGAAAATGCTTCCACAACCAGCTATATGCATAAAACGCTTTCCAAGAGTTCATCAAATTCCAAAGCACAGATTTTTACACCACAAGAATAAACAAACTTATTTCTCGTTGGCAAAAATGTGTTGATTGGAATGGTTCCTATTTTGATTATTAATAAAGATGTGTTTGGGCCTAGTTGAAATAATTTAGAATTTGCAATCTGAAATCATGATTAATTTTGCACCTACCTACATTTATTACCTCAACTGATCCTCAAATTTTTTTTTTTTTTTTTTTGAGATGGAGTCTCCCTCTGTCACCCAGGCTGGAGTACAGTGGCACAATCTTGGCTCACTGCAACCTCCGCCTCCTAAGTTCAAGCAATTCTCCTGCCTCAGCCTCCTGAGTAGCTGGGATAACAGATGCTTTATACCAAGCCCAGCTAATTTTCCTATTTTAGAAAAAATGGTAGAGACAGGGTTTCACCATGTTGGCCAGGCTGGTCTCAAACCCCTGACCTCATCTGCCCATCCTGGCCTCCCAAAGTGCTGAGATTATAGGCGTGAGCTACCACGTCTGGCCTAATCTTACATTTCCTGTTCTTTAAGAGACGGGGTTTTACCATCTTGGCCAGGCTGATCTCAAAATCCTGACCTTGAGATCTGCTCGCCTCAGCAAGTACTGGGATTACAGGTGTGAGCCACCTCACCCAGCTATTCTTAGTCTTTAAAAGAATAAAGTAAACCCAGATAATAACAAATGTCTTAACCCAGAAATCTAACCTTTTTGAATGATGTTCTCCATCCACAGAAGCACTTAATGCACTATAAGTGTGCAGTAAACAGCAAAAGCCAACAGGCGCTAATCACTTAAACTCTAGAGGATATACGGCATAGCTCTTCCTAAAATATCACCAGATGGGTATACAAACTTAGACTGGCTCAACTCCCAGCTGTATATTAACACCAAAACTCTAATGAGTCTTTACTGTCATAATAAAAATCATTGCCTAAATATCTTCCAATCCGTATTAGATGTATTAATATAAACCATAGCCCATCTGAATTGCTACAACTCCACTTGATAGTTAAAACACACTGCAACACACACAAGCAGATACAGAACTTGGGAGTTCGAGCTGAGTTCTGTGTTTACAGAGTCCATACAAACGGTGTCTTTCATCATTCTCAATCAGCTTATAACAGAAAAACTGGATGGCTAAGTCCTCTTGTGTTTAACTGTGATCAAATCCCAGAATGTCTTTAGTCATAGTGGAGTTCACAATGATAAAGTTCAAATCAGCTTACCTGCCCCATTCCTCCCATACTACTTCCTACAGCTGCCATTCCTCTTGAGAACTGAGCCAGTTAACCACCACTTTCTCAATGGTGACTGTGACTTAAACCTTCACAAGACATCCACTGAAATATAAAGACTTTAAAATATCAGGTTTTGGCTGAGCATGGTGGCTCACACCTGTAAATTTCAGCACTTTGGGAGGTAAAGTGATCACCTGAGGTCAGGGGTTCATGACCAGCCTGGCCAACAAGGTGAAACCCCATCTCTATTAACAAACACACAAATTAGTCAGCTGCAGTAGCTTGTGCCTGCAATCCCAGCTACTTGGAAGGCTGAATACAAGAATCACTTGAACCTAGGAAGAGGCTGCAATGAGCTGAGATCACACCACTGCACTCCGGCCTGGGTCACAGAGTGAGACTCCATCTTAAACAATAAAAAATAAAATAAAATACCAGTTTTCCTTCTTATAAAATACGTAGCTTTGTGCAGTGGCAGTATCATAGCCAATGAGGTTTATCCAAGGCGTGATTATTGCTAATTGAAAAGTAAAACATGCTCATTTTAGAAACCTGAGAAACTATAAAAGAATAAGAATCAAAAAAGTCACATTATCGCACCAAGAGAGAAATTAATCAGTACTATTATTTCCATTTCTGGACATCCAAGGTCTCCTCTATATGTAAAAGTATATTCATTCATTACCAGACAGGATTTTAAGTACTGCAGAACAAGGGGGAAGTAGCCTACTAGTTTTTTGGAAGACTAATTTTCTTCAGTGTAAAGAAGTTACACTTACTGCTGAGTAAGTCAACCATATGTACAGGAAACTGAAGAGAGTGACAAAGATGAAGGGAATCTTCACTCACAGCAAACCATGGAGTCCATGTTTTGGGAACATTTTTGAGACCATTATTTCTTTATAAATAGCAGCCCACTTAATAAACAAATACGTATATACAAATATGCATAGACATATAATACATACAAATATATACACAAATATACAGTCTTGCCACAGGCGTTACACAGTGAAAGGAATGACATTAAGAGTATTTTTGTCACCATTAAAGTATCTTAAGAGAAAGTAAAGGGGTATGTGAAAGGTTCATCTAAAATTCATGACTTCTTCCACAAAAATATTTTCTGTGCACATCAGCTGAAGGAACGATCTAACTATGGAAAAAGTAAGTGTTGGTTTTATAATGCTATAATTTATTTACATGTGTAAATAAATATGCAGGAGTTTAAACAGTTATTCTATAAACAGTAATAGCTTACTCTGTACCAGACACTGTATGAAGTGCTAGGGAGTAAGGGAGGGAACAGCCACCAGATGTCAAACACTAGGCATGTGGCCTCAAGGCTGATTAATGATGATCTCAAATCCTTGTGATGATCTAAGATATATGTGAAAGTAGCTTAAATCATGTTACCTAAGGTAAAAAGGGATATGTGGCCTTTTATGCAAAGCACTGTATACAGCAATCATCTTCAATATAAACTATCTCATTTCTTTTAAATGGCAAAAAAAATCATTCAAGTTGCTTAACATAATCTCTTTTCACAGTCTCTAAGATTTTAATATCATCTTTCTCTGCCAATGACCCGTATGACATAACTGAAATTAATTTCCCCATAACGGGGATGAAAAGACTCAATTTTTTCTAATACAAAAAGCCTTGTTTTCCTAATTTCATAACTTATGGGGTTGAGAAGCAGGCAGCCACAATCAAAAGCAACTTATTCAAATTCAAGAAAAAATTATGTTTTAATCTAAGAATCATCATGGAAAGTTTGTTATAGGCTCAGGTTATTCCAAATAGAGTTAGTGAAAGGTTAATTGTGTTACTTTGAGAGCAAAGGAGAGCAAGCAGCAATTATTCATCCCTTCACTCAGTCTCTAAGACCTAATCTCTTTAAAAGCAGAGAGATACATATTACTTCCAAACTGCTTTCCAAAAACGTACTTTTAAAAAATATGCTCTACACAATATCAATTATTCATATTGAAAAGGAATAGACTACATTGCCTCTTACCCTATGATTCACCCTATTCAAATTCAGCCACCTCAACAATACAAAATTATCAAACTGATGCTTTAAATTTATTTTTGCCCTTATTGCAGATATTGCAGATATGACTCTCAAGAGCATGGAACTTGTTTTTTTTTTTTTTTTTTTTGAGATGGAATCTCACTCTGTCAACCAGGCTGGAATGCAGTGGCACAATCTTGGCTCACTGCAACCTCTGTCTCCCGGGTTCAAGCAATTATCCTGCCTCAGCCTCCCAAGCAGCTGGGACTACAGGTGCATGGCACCATGCCCAGTTGATTTTTTTGTATTTTTTGTTTGTCTGTTTTTGAGATGGGGGTTTCTCCATGTTGGTCGGGCTGCTCTCAAACTCCCCCTGCTTCTGCCTCCCAAAAATGCTGGGATTACAGGTGTGAGCCACCACACCTGGCCAATTTTTTGTATTTTAGTTTCACCATGTTAGCCAGATAGTCTCGATCTCCTG